TTGTAAGTTCAGCAATAGTGCAGATTTTCTCCTCGTCACGTGCAGCATCTCCCACACTTAAAAATTATGTTAAGGTGTTAAAAATGGATGTGTGTATCCTGCATAATGATTCTACCACAAAGAGCAGAGCACTGACCGCAAGCTTTTTCACGGGGATTAGGGGGTGAACTTTGCCACAAATAGCCAAAGTCTGCGAGTAATTGACGGCCACCAATTGCCAAACTGTAGTTGCCACACGATGGCAAAAAAGCAACCTATTAGACAAATTTAACAACTCAGCGAAGTTTCTCTCTTCAGTTCACCGTATGTGCTTGGCACTAAGCTACCACCAGATAGCACCAAAGCCATATTCTTGCATTGGACAGGGCTGCATAGACAACGTAAAAAGATGAGGTGTTTCAGCAGAAAACGGAGGGTACGTTCCCACCAAAATTTGGGAAGAGGTGAATTGGCAAATGCTGACTCCACAACAATGTGGGTGTTCACTATATCAACAATTCGCACACTACAATGATTATGATGCTCAGCTTTGATTGACACATCCAAACAATAATTTGAAGAGTATTTATTTTTGTAGTGGCATGAAACAACTTTACACTGAGAGTAACTAAAATAAAAGAAACAACTCTCAGTATAATACACAGACAGCAATGCAAACTATAACCACAAAAAATTTGAATACCTCCATGTTCTTGTAAATCAAAACTAATCATTATTATCTTTGAAAAGGCAGAACTCTGAGCTGAGATATTGTGCAAGCGCTCCGAATGTTATGTCCGGAGTAGTAGTAGTAGTAGTAGTTAGTAACATGAGCCAGCTCATAGGAAGAGGCAGTGGTACCCAGCACTCCACCCAAACACGTCACTTAACCACTTCCTCTTTCAAATGCATGTGCTGCCGGAGGAGGTCTTAGAACCTCCACGTGTGCGTGTGTCCTCTATGTGTGTGTGTGTGCAAGATATCGACAGAGGAGAGAGAGAGAGAGAAAGAGAGAGAGTGTGCATGGCAAAGTAAACATGAAAATTATGGGTTGATCTCTTGAGAGCATCTCACCTGAAACCCTGGAGAACATGGAGGGGAAAAAAGTCCTGCATTTTGTGCCAGCGGGTAAGTTTGTCTTTTATTTTTGATGTAGTGTGTTTGTGTGTGTGTGTGTGTGTGTGTGTGTGTGTGTGTGTGTGTGTGTGTGTGTGTGTGTGTGTGTGTGGTTGGAAAGTTTCCCACGGTGCACGTGGAGTAGAGACCTCTGCTAGTGTGTGGACAGATTTATGACAAAATGACTTTTGCTTTAGTTTTATTCCCCCTTCCTATGAGAATACGTGATGTGCAGCATGCCTGTGTTGTCAAAAAGCAACCAAAGTCAATATTTATCACCAGGCAATAAAAAAGGGTTGACGTGAGGCAGCAACACATGCACTCCATTTACATCGTCAAATGAGATTTTTCATCAAGATTTTCTTGCACCAGCGTCTTTCGGTCGCTGTAAACCGGTTAAATCTTGATCATAGGTCACAGATTAAGAAGATTAGCAAGAAGAAAAATGTCTCGTGTTTTAGATCTGGCACACCAGGTTTGAATTGATATGATGTATCCCCGTTCTCATGGTATCATTTCATAAGTGACTGTTAGTATTTGATTTCAAAAGACTGTTGTCCACTAATGTTTTCTGATAGCATTTATGGCTGAGATTATTGTTGGTCCACTGGCTCCGTCCACTGTGCCGGATGAGCAAACATCAGGTGGTTTTCAATTGCAAGACGTTGAGATGTTGAAGCGGATGGAGCTGTGAGGCGTTCCTTCCTGCTATTCGCTTTATTTCACGGCCGAACGTGTACACTGCGACTTGAAGAGCAAACACAGTTCACACAGCAATCAGGGCGACTGAGATCCGACTGCACGTGACGTGACCTTGATCAAATCTGATGAGTGACAGCAGCTTCATATTCAAAAGACAAAGCTTGTACAATTTGTTTTCGAAGACACTACAAGAGTTCTTTTTTCCGTTTGTTTCCGATTGCTGAAGGACATCCTCTTCTCGCTGATAGCGGGCAGCGAAGATGAATACAACACTCTCCATGGTTAGAGGCAGCTCAGTGGATCCAGACATTTGTTTTCGTGTCTGAGGGTTAGCTCAGTGAAAAACAATTATTCTTTAATGCTTACATTCTCCAACGATGCAAAGTTTTTAATGCTGTTACGCTGATTATCTTATATACTGTATGTTGCCACATGTTACCTTTTGTGAGACATACAGTAGTTAGCACATTAGCTCAAATAGCACCCAGGGGTATTTATTTGCAGTTAGCACCAAGTGTAGGAAGTGGAAAGGCATTCGTGTGTGTGTGTGTGTGTGTGTGTGTGTGTGTGTGTGTGTGTGTGTGTGCGCGTGCATATGTTTTTTAAATAAAATAAAATAATGTTTTAAATGAAGTTAGAGTGGAGCGGCGCGGTGGTCGACTGGTGGGCACGCCAGCCTCACAGTGCAGAGGTGCAGGGTTCAAGTCTGACTCTGGCCTTCCTGTGTTGAAGTTGCAAGTTCTCCCTGTGCCTGCATGGCTTTTCTTTGGTTGCTCCAGTTTCCTCCCACATTCCAAAAACATGCATGGCAGGTTAACGGAATGCTCTAAATTGTTGCTCAGTGTGATTGTAAGCGTGAACGGTTGTTCGTCTATGTTAGCCCTGCGATTGACTGGCAACCGGTTCAGGGTGTACCCCGCCTACTGCCCGCAGACGGCTGGGATCGGCTCCAGTGTGGCCCGCGAACCTTGTGAGGATAACGTGGATTAGAAAATGGATGGATGGAGTTAGAGTGGTCCCACACCTATTTGTGGATTTCTATTCACAAATTCACCTATTTGCATTTTCTCTCTGTGGAAGCTATCCTCAGCTATTTGAGACTTTCACTCACATTTTTGTGCACATTCTCTAACGCCCTAAGATGCCACAAGATATTGCCATATTAAACAAGTGTATTTTTGCTCTGCTGAGTGGCTACTAAAAGGCTTACGTTAACAAACGACGGCTGTCTCACACAGTATTGTTTGACAATTGGTGTGTTACAAGGGTGACATTCAGTACTTGCATTCTTCCGGTGCATTTAAAACAAAAAAAAATCGAATTATTAATAAACCCTTTCTTTTTTTAGGGTGATTGTATAGGTTGAGTCTAAAATAATATTTAAGTGTTTTGGGATGATAGCTTGTGCAATGGTAACCTATGACGATACGCAATTACTCTGTTTTTGCTATTCGTGTTATGGCTCGGTCCCTATCCCCTATGAGACACGCGGGTTTACTGTACATACTTTTACTGGACAGGGACGATAGAGGATATCTTTACAGATGCTGTATCTGCTGTGTAGGCAATGTGTGGTGTGATTAGGACGCCTATTTTCTCGCTCTTCTGTTTTAACGGACCGAATATTGTGCAATTCCAGGAATAGGGCTGTTAAATGACAGATTTGCAACCTGTCTGCGGAAAAGACGGCATAGTAAAGGTACTGCCATCCAACGAGTGTCACCCCTCTCCTCAGGGGGCAAAAAGATGGTATCTATTTGAGGTGTGATGCATCAGGCACTTATTCGAGGCATGGTATAATGTACCACTTCTGAAGACAGTGATTTCCAACCAGAGTGCCGAGAGAGCTCCATTGGTGTGCAGTGGGAAATTATCAAATGTCATTTAATTGGTGACAAACTTATTTATTAATAACAATTAATGTATCTTTGTCCCTCTATCTATGCCGTCAACTTATAGTGACAGAAAGAATAAATAAATTATCTTCTATTAGATGGAAAAAAAGTATGAAATTGACATATCTATTTTCTTTTTGTGACAATTCTGTTTGGTGGTGTGCCGTGCGATTGTTCAAACTTAAAATATGTGCCTTGACTCACTAAAGGTTGGGAATCACTGATTTAAGGAATACGAGATTGAGACCCAAGTAGTGCATTTTGCTTTTTCATGTCACATATTATAGCTCAATAGGCTCTCAATGCTACCGTTATGAATGGCTGTGCTAAATTGGACCCTTTCCTTTGGCGTCACGACACAGTAAAAGTCTTGCAGCCAACCTGCACGGTAAAAATCTCTTGCCAGAGCTGTGAGGCTCCCGAGCATCTCCCATGGGGGGAAAAGGAGGCCTTGGGAATGTTCTGTGCTAATCTGCTACAAGACAGAATCTTGCTCAGGAGGGTTCAGAGCCGAACAGCTCATCTTTTCAGATACACAACTACTGCTATTAAAAACACAGGGCACAGCTGCTCTCCGGTTTTCATTGTAAGTGAGAGTGGAGTATGTGTTTTTGAGTTCTCACCACACGATATTAGTTCCCTCCACCGTTTGAAAAAAAAAAAAAACTCTTCGCATTATGTTAGTGTGGTGGGAATTTAACAACAGTGACACTGTCCAAAATGCATATGTCAACATATTTTTTTTCTATATAAAAAATGAGTCAAAATGGTCAAAAATGCTGGCACCGGCTGTTCCAATTTGAGGAAAAAAAAAGGCTGGCATTACTTTTTAAAAAAACATACATGGCATGGACATCAAAGACTCTTGGTGTCAATGTGAATGCGAAGGGGTGTATACAATGTCTTTACATGCCAAATATATATTTTCTCCAATTATGATTTCACTCATGCGTTAGTATACTGTGTGTAGGTTTGGTTAACAACTGACTACTACGTTCCGACTCGCAAAGAAATTTTGAGCAGGTCTACGTAATGTAGTGTCCGGCACTATGTAAACAGAGACAGCAGCGACCTCGAAAGCAAAAACTACGAACTGCAAGACCATTGAACTAAAATGACGGAAAGTGGTGTCGGAAATGGAGGGATTAACCTTAACTACACTATGAAGTAAAATTTAATGTAAAGTATTAACTTAATAGTATATGTATGGTCAAGTGTTTGTTTTGTCACCCAAAAAAGTTTTAAACGAGTAATGGAGCATATTTGAATGAAAAATAAATAAATATGGTTATGTTTTGTGTTCCACAGAGGCCCCACCAACCGGGAGCTCCAAGAATGGATATGTGTTCCGGGAAATGGGTTTGTATTGTTCTATATACGGTATTTGCGCTGATTTCTGAATGAAATGCTGTCATTTTCCTTTCAGGGACTGCCTTACAAATGTTTGCATGGACAAGAATCATTCTGAGTTATCCCCATAGACATCAAATGCATACACTTACCCCGAGTGTTATCTTAAAATTTTGCGTATCACGATGTCAGATGTCAACTAGTGCACATTTTTTGTTTCATAGCGTGCCAAAGTTGTACATTTGTGAAAAGAAATGTCATACAATAGTGGAAAAAAAAAACATTACAAGTAATAAAGAGTCTATCTACGAGCGTGCCTTTGTCATTGCGGTGAAAGTCTTACTAGTGAGGATACTAGTTACATGGAACTTGAAAATAGAACTTGAAATATGACAAAACACCACTCTTTGTTAATGGACAACTTTGGGTCAGCTACATGTTACTACAGTATAATGAAGCTAATTTTACTGCACTCGAAGGACTGTTAATACCAAGGTGTTCTACAGATATGCCACATTTTTCCTACGAGTAAGGACAAAGCATTTTAAGGATGGATTTATTACACAGCCATAATGTCTACATTAAGGTGCATACACTAGTATGAATACAAGTAGGACAAATTTTGCATACCAGTAGGACGATTAAGTATTATTAGTGAGGGAAAACTATGAATTAACATTCGGTGCAAGGAGGTTACTAGTACATGACACATGCCTAGTTGCACTAGTAGTGTTACGAGTGCGTATAGGGTTTAATCGTATGATAAAGGGAGTGGATATTCACCTCTGTCCCATTTCACTCGCCCCACCCCCCCCAAAAAAAACCCTGTCCCACCCCAGTCCTGGACAGTAGTAAAAACAAAAAGATAATCCTGTCCCCAGTGGCGGGCCGTGCATTTCAACCTTAGGCCTTCAGTGACGTCACATACATGAACGCAATACTGTATAGGCTCGTCAAGCAGCACTTAATTTCAGCAGCATTTAAAACCATCAAGTATGCATTCACAATTAAGAGCAGGAAACTAAATTTACAGATAGTCAAAAATAAAAAGATGATTTAAAAATACGAAATAAAATGCCACCCAAATTACGCTGTGTGATCTTAAACAAGTCTGTCCAATACATTGCGCAATGTCGCAGTTTCATATAAGACACCAACCAAACAATAACAAAACAAACTATTCTTTGAAAATAAACAGATCATTTGCATTTTGAAAATCGGCGATACAACAATAAATAACTGAAAATGTTGAGCAGCTGAGATTGAACGAACTTTCGTGCACGAAGGTGACTACAATGCGCCATTATAAATTGCAGGTGAGCAGATTTATTTGATACACGTTTGTCATTTTATTTCGTTACCATGAATTTAATACTAACGAAATAAAATGACAAGAAGAAATGTAAAATAAAATTCATTGACTCACCAATGTAGTTCTCCACAGCG